CCTGCAGCTCGAAGAGCGTCGTACGACGCAAATCGGATGCAGTGTGAATCCAGCATTATGCTTGCAAAATATGTAGTATGATATGGACTTTAGATTTAAAAGCGGGAAAATGTTGAAGAAAAAGAAGAAGTGCCTAACCTCTTTGTGCGGTTCTCTTTTTCGATGATTTGATTTATACTATACAGTAAATTTGTGTTTAATGTAATTACTTAATTTCTTAGCACTAGTGTATGCTTTTTTTTTATTCACAACTGTATGTTTACGTATTGTGCATAACGATGGCTGACAGTAAATGCATACAGATGATTCAAACAAATTTTTCATTATACGGTTTGGTATTATCAAGGTAAATATTCTATTTATTAAATTAAAGAATTTTATGACAAAAGGATGAAAAGTTCTTTAACACGTTCGCGCCGGGATGTATCATCGGTGGTACATACACGACTGACAAATACGGCCCTGTCGTGAACGTGTTAAACAAATTATTAAAATATAAATAAATTTTTAATAGTTTAAATCTTATTTCTATAATATATATTTATGTGTTTTATATATTAATATAATGTAATTAATATATAATGATAACTACTATATACAATGCTGTCTTAATACACATTTTTTTATAATATTTTTATATGTAATTGCACATAACTCATAAGACAATAATTTATAATTGTTTATATATTTTTAGAGAGCTTAGAATATCTTTCGCAAAGCAATTGTTAAAAATACCCCAAAATGAACGTGAATCTTGGCTTAGTCGTATTATAGAACTGATTCTGGCTCAAAATTTGGATGATCCACATGTTGGAGCCGAACATATAAAAATTGCTATAGAAGAATGCTTAGAGCCAAATAAATTGAAAGACACAGAAACAGTGTTCAATGTTATAGATGGATATAATATACCAAAGATAAAATACGATATTTCTAAAAAGAAATTTATCATTGACAATGAAAGCACATACCCTGAAACACAATATAAATCATTGGTTTTTAAATATCGTTTTGAAATGGCATGGTACAAAACTCTAAGGCACAAACAATTTCTATCATCTAAATTTGATAAACAGCAAACACATAAAACAAATTTAATACCTATCGAATATCTGTTAAGTGAGCTGAGAACAGGGAATGTATGTATAATGGGTCTGATAACACAATTAATGGAAGATCAATATTATTTGGAAGATACAAGTGGAACTGTCAAGATTGACCTCAGCAATACAATATCCTTTATATATACTTAATTATTGCATTTTAAAGTATTTGGTTTTATTTAAAAAATACATTGATTTCAAAATTTATGGAAATATTTTATATGGACAATGGAAAAACATTTAAACAATACGAAAAATATTTCACAATTTATTCCAAATACTACCAAACATCACATAAGTTTAATGATGTGTTATTTCTCAATACTAGTTTTGAAGATATGCTTTTAATTGGTATTCTGTGTGATAAAAATAAATTGATGATTAAATGATTTACTTTATAATTATGAAATTATGAGCTTGAAATTATAATCATGATTAATCATATCTTAATCATATTTTGAAAAATTAGAAAGATATATTTCTAGATTCATCCATATAAGATATTTTTGTTTATTGAAGTTTGACTGGTTTTTTTTTTAAGTTAACTCTGTACTATATACATATATGTCTCTCAATAAGGTATACTATCTTTAACATATAACAATAGCAGTACTAATATACAAAATTATTTTTCTTATTTTATGTATAAGATTTTCAAGATGCTTTTATCATGGAAGGCTTTATAGTAATAGCTAATGGTGTTTACAAAGATGATGTATTACATGTAAAAACTATTGACCTTCCGCCAATAGAATCGTCGGAAAGCTTGCGATCAGATTTTGGCGACACAAATACATTTGGTGGCTCACATAATATATCCCTAAAAATGTCAGAAAAATTACAAATCCACGAAGAAACTAACCAAGATGGAATGATAGTATTCATAGCAGAATTGTGGTTGGATGTTCCACATGTTTTACAAAAATTTAGGTCAATATTGGATGGTTACATGGATTATCCTCCTATAGCTTTTGTATTGTGTGGTCATTTTTTAAGTTTTCCTACAAATATAACTAGTACGAAAACTTTGATAACAGGTTTTAAAAATTTAGTTGACATAATAATACAATATACGAGTATAAAGGAATCTACGAAATTTGTTTTTGTACCTGGCCCACACGATTTAGGTTCTCCTAAAATTTTACCAAAACCTCCTTTACCCAAATGCATTATTGAAGAAGTTACAAAAATGATACCAAACGCTATTTTTACAACAAATCCATGTAGAATACAGTATTGTACAAAGGAAATTTTAATATTAAGAGAAGATATGTTGACAAAAATGTGTAGGAATACGCTTCGTTTTCCGAAAGAAGAACACTTTTTTAAACATGTAAGTAGACGTTAAATTAAATACTATCAAATATATGTATATTTTGTATATAT